CCCTCCACTCCTAGGCCCCGTTCCGCTTCCCTGGTCCCGCCCTCCTAGGCCCCACCCCCCTCCCCATCCAGCCAACCACAGGGAGCCATGCTAGGCAGCGGCGGCGCGCGCAGGGCCAATGGGGCCGCGGGTTGCTGGGCTGCAGCGCGGCTGACCGCACCCAGCTGGGCCGCGGGGGCGAGCTGAGGGCGGGAGCGGCCCAGGGCTGCGGCTGTCCTTCGGGGGAACGCTGCGGCCAGGGGGCGGAGCCCGGCCTAATCCTCAGGCGAGGCGGCGGCCGCGGCACTCGGATCCCGGACACCGCGATCGGCCCTCGTTTCTCCACGGAGGTGAGGCCCGCGGGCGGGGACGCGGGGCCTGGTGCGGGCCCGGATGCGGGGAGGGGCGGCCGGCCGGGGGTGTAGCAGACGCGGTGAGGGGCTGCGGCGTGGGCTCTCTGCCCGGGGCCTCTGCTCTGGGCTGCGGCACGGGGGCGATGGCGCTGGCCCTCGGCTTCCCGGGATGGCGCGGGCGGGCCTGTGTGGGCAGCGCAACCCTGCGCTGGCGGTGGGCCCCGGGGTCCGCGCGGGTCAGCCTGGTTCTGGTCCCCCCCGCGGTCCCGGGCGCTCTGCACTTCGGGGACTGTGTACACGCGCTTCTGGATCTGGTCGTCTGCCCTGGACGGCGGCTTATGGAGATGGCTTCTGTTCTTGTCATTCATTTCCTGCCTTATGGTATTCGGTGGGTCCGTTTTATGCACACCCAGGTTGAAATACTTCGGTTCATCCGAACCAGGCGATTTTAGGTCTAAAATTGCTAATCCCCGAAGACCAAGAACAGAGCTGAGGGGCGTCGTGTGTGTCAAAAGTGGGTTGGAAATAATGCTGACAGGTCGGCTCTGCCGCCTTTGTAAAACCCATGTGTGAAAACAAGTGGCGAGTTCATGTTCAACAGGCTCCAGAAAGGGACGGCCATTCCAGGGCGAGAGTAGATGCGATTGAATCTCAAATTTTGATATTCCCCTTTCATTTAGAGTTTGGGGAAAACTAGCAAAAGTTCTGTTTGTCGGTCCCCTCGCCCCCTTAAGACAATGTCTGTAGCCCAGAATGCGCTGGAACTTGGACTTTTGACCTCTGCCTCCCTAGTTCCAGGGTAACAGTGAGGATTTATTTACATCAGGTCCAACTAGTCAAGTTGTTTTTTTAAGGAAGTGAATGGTTTTGACGTTCAAAACTGCTTTTTGGGCTTTGATGTGGTTTACAGTGGTACAGCTAAACTACACCAGCTGGTGTGATTGGTTAGTTTTCTACTGTGGTGAGTTACAGAGAGTTAGAATCAGTAAATGACTTGAACCTAAATTCTACCCAGTCTCCAGACTGGAATAGTTTCCTTTTTTAAAAAAGAATTTAAATTTTAATTTTGGGCTGGAGAGATGGCTCAGCGGTTAAGAGCACTGGCTGCTCTTGCAGAGGACCCGGGTTCGATTCCCAGCACCCACATGGCAGCTACGGACCGTCCTTAACTCCAGTTCCAGGGGAATCTGAACCCTCTTCTGACTTCCACGGCATTGCACGACACGGGTGCACTCACTATACATGCAGGCAATACACTCATGCACATAAAATTAAAATAATACATAAAATATTTTTAAAAATTAGAAAAATTTATGTGATTTTATGTTTTATATTGCCTACATGTGTGTAAGTGCAGCTGTGTCGTGCAGTGCCCACTGAGGTCAGAAGAGGGCGTCGGATCTCATGGAACTCGGATTACAGACAGTTCTTAGCTGCCTTGTGGGTACTGGAATCCCAACTCCAGTTCTCTGCAAGGGCAGTCAGTGCTCTTACTGCTGAGCCATCTCTCCAGCCCCCATAGTTTCCTTTCTAAAATTTGTTTTATACAAGGTATTCATTTTTTCATTTTAAGTCTTGGTAGTATCAGATGCTGGTGTTTAGTTTTGTTGATTTACCACACCAAAAAACTGTTTCATGCTGGGCATGGTGACACACGCCTTTAATCCCAGCACTTGGGAGGCAGAGGC